AGAGAGAGAGAGAGAGAGAGAGAGAGAGAGAGAGAGAGAGAGAGAGGAAATGTGTATGTCTGTGTGGTGTGTCTGTTTTGGTTTGTATAATTGTGTATTGCCTGCATAGAGGTGTCTTGTACCTGTCTATGTAGCAGCTGCCTCCCAGGCAAGTTGGAGAGTCCCTTCCTGGTGGTAGCCCTGCTAAGACTTCCTTCCTGGGGCAGGCTGGCTTGCTTCCCAGCAGAATGAGCTGGCTTCTCAAATGGGGCCCCTCTCTTCAGTCCTGGGTTCTACCCTGGTCTGCCTGGGTGTTCCCCATCTCTATAGTACTCCACTGTCCTTTGCAGGGAAACACGATTTCCTGTCTTTGATGTCACCGGTGCTAAATTTTCCCTTCCAAACAGCTCAGGCCACTGGTTTCTTTCTTTGTGTGTGCACTTGACCACAATTTTGTGCTTAATATTGAAAAAAAAAAAACCAAAGCAAAACAGTAACACGTGGAAAATGCAAGTGGGCGAAAGCATGTACAATGGAAGGTCCAAATTATCTCAGCTCCAAATCCCCCACTGTTCATGTACCTTCCAGAAATTAACTGTGTAAATATATCTCTGTTCTGATACAAACCCTGAATGTAGCACCCTGCACCTGTTTCCTCAACTCTTAGAGATTTCAATGGAATCCAGAAATGACTCAACCTTCACACCTGTGATCACAAAACCAATTCTACAAACAATCTGACCATTTTGCTTTCTATGACCATTTTTACTCTTTTCATCGAATACTTTTGCAATAGATGTCTGCACTAGTCTTTGGACTCTGGGTGTTTGTTTGAAAGTTCAACAACTGCGTACAGTCACACAGAGATGCCAAACTGTCAGCTTTACCCACAGCCATGACGGCTAACCCTACAGAGTACCTACTGTATGCTAGGTGCTGTTCTGGTTGGCTCTGTATTCTGGACACTAATCCTATGAGGCTGTCACTGGTGTTAGCCACACTTCCCAGATAGGAAAGCAAGGCACAGAGACGTGAAGGAGTTTGCTGAAGATTAAACAACTAGCAAGAGGCAGAGCTGGGATTTGAAGCCAAACAGTTTGGATTTTGTGCTGTTTGCTGTTTCGCAACTAGGAACACACCCGTGGACGCATGGACCCCACCTCCCAATCTCTGAGCACACATTATCACATTGGAAACATAAGTCCAGAGTAGCCGGCTGTGCACCCCAACTCCACAAGGCTTCCTTGCTTTGAACCACCATGTTTTGCAGCATTTACCCAATACTAGAGGTGCACACACTCACATGCTGGGCCTACATAGGACCCAGCTTTTTCAGAGATGGGCTAATGTGGGCAATGCAATCCCCCTCTCTGTGCCTCTTTCCTCCTTCAACACGTGTTAACACTCCCATAGACCTCACTCCATGCTTTCCTTCCCCCTTTTATTTTTCTCTCAATTCACATCACCCCCCCATCCCTAAATTTTGTCCTTTGCTCACTTGCTTGTTCTCTTACTCAGCAAACATCACTAACATTCTCTGTTAGGCTTTGCCTCTGCCCTGGGGGAGACAGAGGATCCAGGCCAGCTAAAGCCGACACTGGGGGAGGCCACATGCAGGGGATGGAGGGCAACGGAGAACCCAGAGAAACAGAGATGAGTTTTTCTAGGAAAAATCAAGGCACACTTCCTAGAGGAGGTGCCTGTTCACTGGGCCTCAGAGGTGGAAGAGGGGTGCTTCCCCCTCCAACTGCTTCCTGCCCAATTGCTCCCTTGAGCCTTATGATGATGAGCATGAGGATTCAGGCCCTTCCCCTAAAGATGAGGAAAATGGGCCCACGCTCACCTCAGGGAGACAGCTGAGCACAGAGGTGCTAGGAGAGTAATGCTGACAGCTCCATGGTGGGCGGGGCTGCCTGGCTCAGATGTCCCAACCACAGCTACACGTCATGGTGCTCCTTGGCTGTGGCCTGAGCCTTCCTCAGGCTGCCAGACTTTGTTTGCCCTCCCTGGAGGGGTTATACAGAACTATGCCAAGCCTCTTGGCATGGAGAGGAGTTCAGAATACTCATTGTGAGTCCTTGGCTAAAAGATTTCAACTTGTGGAGCCTTGGTTTCTGTATCCATGTATTGGGGAGGATGGTGTATCAGAGTTGTAGAAAAGATGCAGTAATCATGCCAGCTCACTTTTTCTGAGCATTTACGATGTGCGTGGCACTACTCACAGAAGCTCTCAACTACCCTTTGAGAGCTACTATTCCCATTTTCACAGATGTGAAAAATGAGGCTCAGAGAGGTGAAGTTGCTTGCTCCAGATCACACAGCAAGAAATTTGAGAGCTGAAACTCAAGACTCTAGAATAGAGGTGGCAATTTTTTTTCTGACGTTGACCAGAGAGAGTAAACATTTTGGGCTTTGTGGGCCAATCTCTGTCACAACTACTCAGCTCTGCTGTAGTATTGCAAAAGCCACCATAGACAATATGTACACGAATGAGCATGGCTATATGCCAAAAAGACTTCATTTGTGGACACTGAAATTTGAATTTCATATAATTTGCACATGTTAGGAAGTATTGTTTTTTTGAGTTTCTAGCCACTGAAGAAAATCAAACAAAAATTTCATGGTTTGCAGACTGTAGTTTGTTGACCTCTAGAGCCCATGCTGTTAATTGTTATGCTATCATTCATTCATTCACTCATTTAATAAATATTATCGAGGCCTGCAATTTTCTAGGCACTGGAGGTAGAATGGAGACAAGGCAGGTGAAGATACTGCTCTTCAGAAGATAACAGTTTTGTGGGGAAAATAATTGTAAGCAACTAAACAAACAAACAAGAATATTCCAGGTGGCTAAACTGGCTAGTAAGGAAATTTGGAAATTTGATGGGTGATGTAATCGGGCCTGAGGAAGAGAACTTTCATTTGGGTTGTTTGAGATGGTGAACTTTGGAGTCTTCTGACTTCCTCTTTTTGTTCTTTCTGGCTGTCATCTGCTATGGGCTAGGGTTTGGCCCACAGTGGCCTGTGAGCTTCTTGGTAGGGCAATGATATGGGAGAGGGCCCTTTGGCCTCGGCATCTTTAAATCTTTCTTCCTGGTTGGTCATATTCCTCAGAGATGGGTATTTCACCATTCTATCTTCTGGGTCCCAGATGCTGAGCAGGGGTGAGGGTTGAGGGTGGGGAAGTTTCAGCTCCCACATTCAAATTCACAGGTTTGCTTAATATTCCTGTGTTCAGAGTGATTCTTCTACTGATGACCGCTGTTCCGTTCCTCTGACTAGAAACTCTGCCATTTCCGTTGTCTGGAGGAAAAAAACCTAGCTACTTTTCCACCTTGATGGGGAGTGTAAAAAAAACCCATATATATATATATATATATATATATATATATATGTATATGTATATATATATATGGAGCCACTTTAAAATCGAGTTGGAGCTGCCATCCCAGAGGAACTGTCTTGCACTCTGGTGCCTCAAACCTTTGGAGTGTTAAAACAGGGCAAAATATCCTTTGGACTGAGCATAAATCAATATTGTGTCCTAAACAACTGTTTGCAAGGATAACAAGAAAGCAGATACGATGACTTCAGAATGATGACTCCTGGACTGAAAATGAAAATCATTGTTTAGAATTAACATCACTCTGTTATGTTATCTGTACCAATAGAAACGCCTTCCTCTATTGATGTAATTATTCCCTTTCCCTTCTCATAAATACCCCTTGCCTTTGTCTCCTAATTGAAACACTATTTAGGCTTCTGCCTGAATCAGTTAGTGCTTGCTGAATAGCAATTCTTATTGATCTCAAATAAATGCTTGTTGCTTCTTGTTTTGAAAGGCCTTTTATTTTTAGCTTAACAAGAGAAAAGTTGATGTGTCTTCTGGGAAATTTACTTGCATGAAACTCTTCTATTTTACATGCACACTCTCTTTCGGAGTTGTCTGGAGTCCCCAACAGCAACAGCCTTGGGGGATGGTGATGATGCAGTTCTGTGAGGGAAGTTATATTTAGCTTTCCACCTGCTGGCTTACAATTTTGTTTCAGGTTTAAACCAGTCACTGAATGGTCATTGCTCTGGGGTTTTAGGAGAGTGAAAGTAGAGGCTGGTGGGGCCGGCTGAGTGGCGCATTGGTTAAGAGCTGGCTTGGGACGCCAGCTCTGAGCAGCAGGGCCCTGGTTCGGATCCCACATGAAGGCCAGTGACACTGCGCCCTACAGCTAAGAAGGTGAACAACAGCTGGACCTGGAGCTGGGCTGCTGTGAGTCGCCGGTGATGGTGTAGGCTGCAGCCCCTGTTGCAGTGGGTTGCCATGAGCTACCGTGTGTGGCCACAGCAGCCAGCGTGAACAGCTGGCAGCCGGTGTGAGCTGCCAAGAGCTGCCATGAGCAGCCATTCAGAGGCCAGCGACTGATCTGCCTCACCCGGGAAGAGCGCAATGATAATACCAACATGGGCCAGTGAAGCAACGTCCTCCACAACTAGACTGAAGAACAAAAGGACAGCAACTTGTCTGTTCCCCTCCCCCAATTCCCCAATACAATCTTAAAAAAAAAAAAAAAAGTAGAGGCTGGTGTTCCATGTGTCATCTTTACCCAGGACAGTTGGAAACTAAGCTTGACTGGCAAGAAGGTGTCTGCTGGCTGCTGATCTGGGGAAAGAACATTCCAGGCAGAGGGACTGCAGGTGAGAAGGAATAACCTGGGTTCTTCAGCTTGGGCAAGCATCAGAATCTTCTGGAGGGCTTATTAAGACACTGATTGCCGGCTTCTTCCGGTCCCACAGTGTCAATAGATTGAGGTGCTAGAATCTGCAATAGTTACAGCTCCCCAGGTGATGCTGCTGTTGTTGTTTTGGACATCACACTTTATAAACCACTCACATAACAGAAGCATTTAGCACCTGTGCATCAACATCAGCCAGTATCGTTATGGTTTTCTCCTGGTAATTCCCCACAGGGGCCCAGTGCAAGATCAAGCACATAACAGACATCGGATACTAAAATTCCCCGACTGCTGGCGGAAGCCTGAAACCAATAGCGCCATCCACCCTCCCAGTTTACATATGGAAAGTGAGGCCTGGAGTGGGTCAGGGAGTTAGCCAGTGTCCACTCTGGTGGTCTGGGCAGAACAAGGCTTCTATCGCAGTCCAGGGCTTTCGTTCCCATCTCTCAATCCGGAGTTGCTTCCTCTTTTGGGTCAAGTTTTAGCTGCTTCTCTGCTCCTCCTCCCGCCCCCGCCTGAGTGAATGGGAAATTTGAATTTCCTCAGCCTCACTCAAGAGTGTCCTTTTCCTACAAGGGGAATTTCTCTACCTGGATTCTCCAGCCTTCTGCTTGTGGGGTCCATAGGGGGCTCTTGACAGGAAGCATGTCTAGGTGGGTGGGTGGGGGCAGGCCAGGGAAGGCCCAGTGATCCTGGGGAAGGTGAGGGAGGGTGGGGGAAGGGCTGAGCACTGCACTCAGAGTTCTACTGGGGGGCTTATGCACCAGAGGAGAAAGGGGCTGAGGCCTGACTTCTCTGATTCCTCTGCAGAAGTGCTGGATTTAGGGGATCCCTGGGGGTGCCTTGGTGGGCGTGACAAGAAGGAGGGGAAAGAGGCAAAGATACAGAGACTCAGAAAGTGAGAAAGCCATGGAGACAGAGAAAGGTAGAGACAAAGACAGCGAGAGTCAGAGACAGAGAGACTGAAAAAAATCCTATGCGATTCAATGCAGAGACAATCAACAGGGACATGGACAAAGAGTGAGAGACGCACAGCGAAAAGGAGAGATACAGAATTACAAAGAGGCACTCAAAGAGGAAAAGTGAGAAAGAAGAAACAGGTGGGGCCGAGACTGAGGGACGAAGGAGAGAAAGGAGATGAGTGATGAAGATCCTGAGAAAAGGAACTTAGGGAAAGTTTGGCCGGATGGGACGGGGGCAGGGCGCTGAGGTCCCCACTCGCTCCGCCCCGGAAAGCGGGGCTTCCGGATTCTCTATAAAGCGCGTAGCCCAGGGCCCGAGCTGTAGCCGCCAGTCGCCGGCCATGCGCTCTTCCTCAGACGCCGTCCCGGACCCCGAGGCCCCGCGGCCGCCCGCGTCTCCAGGCCACTCCTGCCACACGCTGCCCTGGGCACTGAGCGCGGCGCTGCTGCTGCTCGCCTCCGCGGCCTGCGCCGCCTGCGCAGTCCGCGCCTGGGGTGTGCCCGGGAGTCCCGCCTCGCCCGGCCCCAGCCCCGCGCCCAGCTCGAGACTCCCAAAGGTTCCCGAGCTCCCGCCGGACGCCCGCTCCGGCCTCCCCGACTCCCGGCAGGTGAGATGCGCTCCGGCTTGGGCCTGGGGGGAGACCGCTACCCGACTCTGGGACTCCTTCACCCGTACCACCGAGGCGACCCCTTCTGCACCCTGGGCCGATGGTCAGTCCCTCTCGGACCCCTGAGTGCACCTGTTCTTTATCCAGGATTTCGGGGGTACCCCTTCTCATCTTCCCCCATATAAGCCTATCTGCATTCGGCGCCCCAGGGCGGGACCTTTTCACCATCGCGTACCCAGAGGGACACTTCTTTATGCCAAACCATTTAGGGGACTCCCACTTCCTTCTCCAACCCCTGAAAAACTTCGACTTTCTCCCTGACCCTTGGGGGTGTCCCCCTTTCTCTCCCAAGACCTCCCTGTTCCAAGGTCTCCTGGAGGGATCTCGGCTGTTTTTCATACTGAATCCTGGCGGGTTCTGCCCTTTTGCAGACCCCACGGGTTGGAGCAGGTTGAGCCCCAGCCTCGGGTGTGCGTGTGTTTTGGTGTATGCTTTTAGAGCAAGGGGGAACGGGAGCGTAGCTCAAGGCCTGCGCAGATTCCCGTTTTTCAGAAGGCTGCGGGAGGGGGAACCTCTACTTATTACCTGCCTTTCCTCCGCAGGGCATGGGATTGTTCGCGCAGCTGGTGGCCCGAGATGGTGAGTGTCTTGAGCCTTCCCCGCCCCCCAGGCAGGAAGACAATAAGGAGGAGGGGTCCAGGGAGCCAGAGGGGTCCTTGTGACTCAATCAGACCCTCTTCCCTTCCTTTCTCTGAAAGCTGTCGCCTCACCTCTTTGAGCCTCATCTGTCCCTCTTTCTGACCTCTGGGTGCCTTTTCCTCAGCTGACCCCCACCTGTGCCCACCTAAAACCTGCCCTCTCAGAGCTGGGGCTGGGTCCGCAAGTCCCAGCCTGGTCTGGTCTCTCCCTCAAGGCTCTCTCCTTCCCAACTTCCTTAGAGCCTCCCCCCTCCCTCTTCCAGACTCTCCTCATGACCCCTTCACTTTCTTCTCCTCACCCTTCCTGAGACACCTCCCTCCTCTCCTTCCTTCTGTCTGCTCCTTTCCCCTCACCTCCCTCTCTAAACCCTTCCTTCCATCTCCAAGAGTCTCCTGTTCCCTTCCCTCATTCTCTTTTGCATTGCACGTCCTTCTCTTCCTGCTCCTTGCCTGTTCATAAAAGTCTTTCACCCTCCACCCCTCCCCCCTCCCTCCGAGCTTCTTCCTCCCTTTCATCCCCCAGCCCCGCCTCCCTCTGGGAACCTCTTCTCTCCTTCCCTCAGAAGTCACTTACCCTTCCCTCAGAGTCCTGCCACCCCCTTCCCAGAGCTGTGTCCCTGCCCACAGCCATGCTGAGCTTTCCCCCTCTTCCTCTTGTAGCACTGCTGACGGAAGGGCTCCTGCACTGGTACAGTGACCCGGGCATGAAAGATGTGTTCCTGGCACCGGGCGTGAGCTATGATGAGCGCACACGGGAGCTGGTAGTGGATGAGGCCGGCATCTATTTTGTCTTCTTTCACTTGAAACTGCAACACGTGGTGGCCAGCCCTGGCTCTGGCTGGGTCTCCATTGCCCTGCACCTGCAGCCGCTGGGTGCAGGGCCCGAAACTCTGGCCCTGACATTGGACCTGCCTCCTCTGTCCTCGGAAGCCCGTGACTCAGTGGCTGGTTTCCGGGGTGGCCTGATGCACCTGGGTGCTGGCCAGCGCCTGGGTGTCCACCTGAGCGCGGCTGCAGGGGCACACCTCACCTGGCAGCTGGCGCATGGTGCCACGGTCTTGGGCCTCTATCGAGTGGCCACCAAGGTCCCCACTGGACTCCCCTCCCCACAGCCCTCATGAGGCACGGCCTGGGTGCCACCCCCTGGAGGGAGACTAAATCCTGCCTTGCTTCGTTGGGACCTCTGGTGAGGGGGTCCCAGCTTCTCTACCTCACCAGGCTAGGCAGGGTTCCCAGCTGCTGACCCCCTCCTCGAGGACTCTCCAGGTTCCACTACCACTCCTGCTTCAAGCAAACCCTTGGTATTTATTTTGAGCCTGAGCTCAGACAGTGCACTTTTTATTAATTAGTTCAACTTATATTTATTGAGCCTCAGCCTGTCAGGTCCTGTGTAAGCATAGAAAAACATCAGCAAGCAAAACAGAGAAAAAAGTCCTTATTTATGTTAATATGTGAGGAATAAAGACTCACTCCTAGCCCCTCCCCCCACAGGATTCGAAGGGCCAGCTTTTGGGGGGTTCTGCAGACTCTTTGTTGTGTGAGTGTCATTCATTCATGCAACTTTTGTTGATCATCACCTATGTGTTTTGTTGATCATCACCTATGTGATCATCACCTATGGCACTGTTTTAGGTGTTGGGGACACAGCTGTGAACAAGACAGACCCAAACCCCAGCTTTTGCTAAGCTGACATCTAATAGTCTGGCTTGACACTAACTATGATTGTCTGTGACTCAGTGTGACTGGGCCATGGGGAAGAGTGTGAGAAGGTATGTGGTACTGGATAATAAAATGTTTATAAACTTCATCACTACCGTGTATTGAGCATTTGTTATATGCTAGACAGTGTGAGCTATTTGAGACTCACAACTACCCTATACTTAAAGGATTTTATTATTTCCATTTTATCTATGGTCTTAAGGTTGTTTTCCTCTATTGTAAATGTGTGGTGGAAATACTATATAATGCAGTTCTGCAGAACGTCACGTGCTAACTGTTCAGTGACATCACACTGGTAACATAAAATCAGCCACAGGAAACAACAAACGCTGTAAGTTAGGGCTTGATTTATTTTCTGTTGATTGTCTAGACTTAAAGTGAAGGGGGAAATGATGTTAAGCATGTAGATTAGACTTAAAAGTGTGTCTTGTCTGTGCCTGTTACATAGTGAATATCACATAAAACAATCAAGGAAGCCTTTGTTTAGTATTTTCAAACCATTATCTGATTTAGCTAAGAAGTTGTTCCGGCAGAGCTGCTCAGCTCAAGGTGCTGTGTTCAATCTTAGTTGCACACCCACCATCCCATGCGGGAGTCAAACCAGCAACCTTGTTGTTAGGAGCACGTGCTCTCACCAGCTGAGTCATCCTGCCACCTGTTGGCAGCTCAACGGCAGCTCAGCTCGGGCGCAGCTCACTGGCCCATGTGGGAATCGAACCGGCGACCCTGTTGCTCAGAGCTCATGCTGTTAACCAACTGAGCTACTCGGCCAGCCCCTTATGTTAGTCTTTAAAGGAAAATATCAACCTACATTCACTTGTCACTTGCACCCGTAGGTTGGCTATGGGAACAAGAGTGGGAAAAATTAATGCATTCTGTAAGAATCAACTGACTATATGGAATTTGCAATGAAGAGTATTTTCTATTTTATTTGTAAATGGTGTGCTTCACAATCACTTATGCCCGTAAAATTTATAATAAATACACAATTTAATTTCCCTCCTCCGGAGAGCTGCTTGTTAGACATGTACCAGCACACCACTATTCCTCTTTCTCTCCAGACCTGGCCAGTTCCCCCAGCTTCATAATTTTCACCACCATGTAGATCTTATGCCCACTGGTCCATATAAACCAGTTAAACTTTGGTTCTCCTTACAGATCTGGGACAAAAGGAATTGGGGTGGACAGAGAAGTCTCTATGGAGCAGGTGACCTTGATGGGCCTTAAGAGGAGAGATGGGGGTGAGCGAGGCAGAGGTGGGAGAGTTCGGCCTACAGTGGCCAGATAGGAGGGTGTGGGATGGGCAGCGAAGATGTGGAAGTGGAGGTAAATGCCATTTGCCTGACCCATCTCTACCCCTTCTCAAAGGGTTTGTCCCTTCTGAGAGGGTGCAACTGACATTGAGGTGACACTAATGAGTATGGCAATACCAGTCATTAAATTATTAAACCAGTTCCATACTGGTTGGCAAGTGCTCATTACTCCCAGTCCCCATTCCTGGAGGCTTCCTCTGCACCACCTAGGATGGCCTTTGTGACCCAGCATCCAAAGCCTTAACACCTGGTGCACTCCTAGAATTCTTGGTCCAGGGGCCAGTGTCAAATCTGATTGGTCAGCATCTGGCTACGCTGATTGTTACCTATTTTGAATAGCACCTTTGGCACCAGGTGATGCCTCTCCTCTGGCACAGATGATTGGGCCAGGGTGAACACATAACTCAAGCTGTACCAATCAGATCTCTGTAGAAAGTGGGCAGGTCTGGCCCCACAGACAGTATTAGTCAGGAACTGGAAACTGTGCCTGAGAGAGAAACATGAAAGGATCCTGAGTGCAGAGAGAGAGGCACAAAAGGGCTTGGAGTGCAGAGAGGGAGGAGAGGAAGGTGCACAGGAATGCACAAGTGAGACCACAGAGCCCTAGAGAGAGAGAAGAGGGACCTAAGTTTCCTACTTGTCTCTTCCGGGTGACATAGGATACCCTATGCCTACTGGGAAGCCCTATTAGTTTCCTAGGGTCATCCTAACAAAGTGCCACAAACTGGGTGGCTTAAAATAACAGACATACATTGTCCCCCAGTGCTGGAGGCCAGAGGTCCAAAATCAAGGCGTCAGCAGGGCCATGCTCCCTGCAAAATCTCTAGGGAAGAATCCTTCCCTGCCTCTTCTAGCTTTCAGTGTTTACCCACAATCCTTGGTGTTCATTGCCTTATAGCTGTGATACTCCAGTCTCTGCACCCATCTTCACATGGCTGTCTTCACTCTGTGTGTCTCTGTCTTCGTTTTTTTTCTCTTTATATAAGGACACAAGTCATATTGGATGTAGGGCCCACATTACTCCAGTATGACCACATCTTAATTTAATTTTATCTGCAAAGAAGGTCATAATCTGAGGTTCCAGGAAGGACACGAATCTTGGGGGACACTATTCCACCCGGTATATCTAGTATCTCCCTTTGGAGGCCATGAGAAACTTGAGTGTCCTCCCATGAATTTCCTTCTGGTGTGGGTTCAGTTCCGTGCTGCCAAATGACCTTTAAGACACCAGTCCCCAAAGCAGCAGGTCTTTAAGGCTGTTGATGTCCTTCTTGGTGGCTTTGGGATCTGAAAGACTGTCCTACTTTCTGGATTATGTTGGGTCTGTGGGTCTCCCACAGCAAGGATGCTGGAGCTGTGAATCTTGTAGGATGTTACCAAGACTCAAGGCACGCAGTTGGAATTCTACAATAGTGACAATAACCATAGTTGACATTTATTAGTGCTTACTGGTCCCAGACACTAATTGCTTTGGAAAGACTCCATTAGGAAGGTACTATTCTATTTTTATTCATATTTTACAGGCAAGGGAACTGAGACTCCCAGAGGTTAACCCAAGTCACACAGTCAATAACAGGTAGAGCAGTTGCCAGTATAAGTTCTAGAGTTGGACTTCTTGGAACTCTGGTCACTCTGAAGAGACCCCATAGAATACATAAAAGTTGGGGTTGAATTGTGCCCTCTTACTCAATTCCTAACTCCCAGGACCTCAGAATGTGACTGTATTTGGAGACAGGGTCTTTAAAGAGGTGATTAAGTTAAAATGAAGTCATTGGGCTGAGCCTGGATTCAATATGACTGGTACCCTTGTAAAAAGGGGAAATTTGGAGATACACACACGCACGCACAAAACACACACACACACACACACACACCACACACAGGCACAAAACACACACACACACACACACACACACACACACACACACACGTAGAATGGCATGTAAATGTGAAGATGGCCATCTACAAGTCAGGCTTGGAGAAGATCTTTCCTTCACAGCCCTCAGAAGGAACCAACCCTGCCCACACCTTGATTTTGGACTTCAGCCTCAGAACTGTGAGAGAATAAATTTCTGCTGTTTAAGGTCCCCAGTTTGTGGCACTTTGCTATAACAGCCTTAGCATACTATTATGGAAGGTTACAGGAGTTGATACATTTATAACACATTCAACACACAGTGCCTGGCTCTTGATAAGCACTCAATACACTTCAACAGTTATTAGGAGAACACGCAGACAGAAATGATGTTACAAAAACACTGTAATACAACAGAGGGGGCTGTTAAAAGCTGATAGACAAGGCCAGCAATAGAGAGACAGTACATAGTGGAAATAGAATGGTGCTTCAAGGAGATGTAACAAAAACAGAACAATAGAGAGGTGGAATTCTCAAGTAGTGGCACATTAACATATAGATAGAATTCTACAATGACACATGGGCATGTTACAAGGAAACAACGGTTTATAGGAGATGGGTTACAATGACACAGCTGTGATGTTATAAAGACACCCTGGCCAAAATGGGGGTTACAAAGTTACAAAGGCAATTATACAAAGATGGGGTGTTGTAAAGAATACCACAGCTTCATAATCCTGCATCCACAACTCTAAAATCCCCAAACAGATAAATTTCCACAACTCCTTTGGCAGCCCAAAGTGACTGAACCCATGTGGATGTGTTTATGGTCTTTATTTATTCCTTAGCCAGCATACTCATAAAGCAAGGGCATTAGTATGCTTGATTACTGGGGGTGTCCCAGAAACCCCTGGTGGTGGTAACATACATGTAAAGCAAAAACTCTCAGGTTTTTTTTTTCCTATCGGGGAGAAAACCCAGTTATTTCTTACTGTGCATTTCTCTCATGTGAGTCTCCTTTATTACCCACACAAAGCACTTTGTTTCTGACACATCTGATCACCAAATATGTGGGGGTTTCCCCCCACACCAATAGGCAATTTTTAGACACCAGTTGGATGTCCAAGAATTCAACTCAATCCTGACGCCATTTACCTGGTGATAGCATCAGATCCCACAGGTTAAGGGCTCGGTCCCACAAGACTGCTGGCCCCACTTCAGAGGCCAGTTGAAAGCCCAGTTTATCAGCTGTGCTTCTGACCAACCAACTATAGATTGACCATTCCAGTCACTCCCTCCTTGGGTTGATTAATTTGCTAGAGTGGCTCACAGAACTCTGGAAACACTGACTTATGTCTATCAGTGTGTTAAAGGAGTTGAGGTAGGGTACAGATGATCATCCAGATGAAGAGGTATAGGAGGGTCTAAAGTGCAGGAGCTTGTGTTCCCGTGGAGTTGGGGGGCATTATCCTCCCAGTGTGGATGTGTTCACCAACCTGGAAGCTCTCCAAACCCCCTACTATCAGGGTTTTATGGAGGCCTCCCTATGTAGGCATGATCACTTATTAACTCCATTTCCAGTCCTCTCCCCTCTCTGGAGGATGGGGGTGTGCTAGAAGCTGAAAATTCCCAGCTTCTAATCATGGCTTGGTCTTTCTGGTGACAGCCCCCATCCAGGAGTCATCCAGGGGCCACCCAGATTTGCCTCATTAGATCAAAAGATGTTCCTTGTGTTCTTTTTTTTTTTTTTTAGCTGAGCCATCCCGCCACCTGTTGGCAGCTCAGCTCGGGCTGACTTGAACCGCTGTTGCTCAGAGCTCAAACTCTTGAGCGAGCTCTTAACCAACTGAGCCACTCAGCCGGCCCTCCTTGTGTTCTTATTACTGAGGAATTTATAAGGGTTTAGGAGCCCTGTGTCAG